AATTGAGAGCTTCGCCTTTTGACTCAGCTCTCTCTTCACCACGACAGACCTGTACAGCGCCCGCTTCACTGCAGACGCTGCACCTATCCGCCTATCGATCTCACGCTCCATTTTTCCCTCATTCGTGAACAAGACCCCAAGATACTTGAACTCCTCCACTTGGGGTAGGACCTCCTCCCTGACCCAGAGAGGGCACTCTACCCTTTTCCGGCTCAAGACCATGGCCTCGGATTTGGAGGAACTGATCTTCATCCCGGCCGCATCGCATTCGGCTGCGAACCGCTCCAGTGAAAGCTGTAGATCACGATCTGATGAAGCCAATAAGACCACATCATCTGCAAAAAGCAGAGACGCAATTCTGAGGCCACCAAAACGGATCCCCTCAACACCTTGGCTGCGCCTAGAAATTCTGTCCATAAAAGTTATGAACAGAATCGGTGACAAAGGGCAACCTTGGCGGAGTCCAACTCTCACCGGGAACAAGCCCGACTTACTGCCGACGATGCGGACCAGGCTCTGACACCGGTCATACAGGGACCTAACAGCCCGTATCAAAGGGCCTGGTACCCCATACTCCCAGAGTACCCCCCACAGGGCCCCCCGAGGGACGCGGTCGAAAGCCTTCTCCAAGTCCACAAAGCACATGTAGACTGGTTGGGCAAACTCCCACGCACCCTCCAGGACCCTGCTGAGAGTGTAGAGCTGGTCCAGTGTTCCACGGCCAGGACGAAAACCGCACTGTTCCTCCTGAATCCGAGGTTCGACTATCCGACGGACCCTCCTCTCCAGAACCCCCGAATAGACCTTACCAGGGAGGCTTAAGAGCGTGATTCCCCTGTAGTTGGAACACACTCTACGGTCCCCCTTTTTGAATAGGGGGACCACCACCCCGGTCTGCCAATCCAGGGGAACTTCCCCCGATGTCCACGCAACATTGCAGAGTCGCGTAAGCCAACACAACCCTACAACATCCAGAGCCTTAAGGAACTCTGGGCGGATCTCATCCACCCCTGGGGCCCTGCCACCGAGGAGCTTTTTAACCACCTCGGTGACCTCAGCACCAGAGATTGGAGGGCCCGACCCAGAGTCCCCAGGCTCCGCTTCCTCAGTGGAAGACGTGCCGGTGGGATTGAGGAGGTCTTCAAAGTATTCCGCCCACCGACCCACAACATCCCGAGTTGAGGTCAGCAGCAAACCACTCCCACTATAAACAGTGTTGGTGGCATACCGCTTCCCCCCCCTGAGACGCCGGATGGTGGACCAGAAACGTCTCGAAGCCGTGCGGAAGTCGTTCTCCATGGCCTCTCCGAACTCCTCCCATGCCCGAGTTTTTGCCTCAGCAACCACCCGAGCCGCATGTCGCTTGGACTGCCGGTACCCATCAGCTGCTTCCAGGGTCCCACAGGCCAAAAAGGCCCGATAGGACTCCTTCTTCAGCCTGACAGCATCCCTCACCGACGGTGTCCACCATCGGGTTCGAGGGTTGCCGCCCCGACAGGCACCGACAACCTTGCGGCCGCAGCTCTGGTAAGCCGCCTCGACAATAGAGGCACGAAACATGGTCCACTCAGACTCAATGTCCCCCACCTCCCTTGGAACATGTTCAAAGTTCTCCCGGAGGTGGGAGTTGAAACTCCGTCTCACAGGAGACTCTGCCAGACGTTCCCAGCAAACCCTCACAATACGTTTGGGCCTACCAGGTCTGACCGGCATCCTCCCCCACCATCGGAGCCAACTCACCACCAGGTAGTGATCAGTTGACAGCTCCGCCCCTCTCTTCACCCGAGTGTCCAAGACATGTGGCCGCAGATCAGATGAGACGATGACAAAGTCGATCATCGAACTGCGGCCTAGGGTGTCCTGGTGCCAAGAGCACATATGGACACCCTTATGCTTGAACAAGGTGTTCGTTATTGACAATCCATGACGAGCACAGAAGTCCAACAACAGAACACCACTCTGGTTCAGATCAGGGGGGCCGTTCCTCCCATCCACACCCCTCCAGGTCTCACTGTCATTGCCCACATGAGCATTGAAGTCCCCCAGCAGAACAAGGGAGTCTCCAGAAGGTGCACTTTCCAGTACCCCCTCTAAGGACTCCAGAAAGGGTGGATAATCTGAACTGCCGTTTGGTGCATAAGCACAAACGACAGTCAGAACCCGTCCCCCCACATGTAGGCGGAGAGAGGCCACCCTCTCATTCACGGGGGTGAACCCCAATACACAGGCACCAAGTTGGGGGGCAATTAGTACGCCCACACCTGCTCGGCGCCTCTCACCAGGGGCAACTCCAGAGTGGAAGAGTGTCCAGCCCCTCTCAAGGAAACTGGTTCCAGAGCCCGAGCCATGCGTAGAGGTGAGTCCGACTATTTCTAGCCGGAACCTCTCAGCCTCACACACCAGCTCAGGCTCCTTCTCCACCAGTGAGGTGACATTCCACGTCCCAATAGCCAGCTTCTGTAGCCGAGGATCAGACCGCCAGGGTCCCCGCCCTCGGCCACCACCCATCCCACATTGCACCCGACCCCTTTGGCCCCTCCCACAGGTGGTGAGCCCATGGGAAGGGGGACCCACGTCTCCTCTTCGGGCTGTGCCCGGCCGAGCTCCATGGGTAAAAGCCCGGCCACCAGGCGCTCGCCCACGTGCCCCACCTCCAGGCCTGGCTCCAGAGTGGGGCCCCGGTGACCCACGTCCGGGCAAGGGAACACTAGGTCCATTTGTGTTTTTCATCATAGGGGTGTGTTTGGGCTGCACTTTGTCTGGTCCCTCACCTAGGACCTGTCTGCCATGGGTGACCCTACTAGGGGCATAAAGCCCCTGACAGCATAGCTCCTAGGATCATTGGGACACTCAAACCCCTCCACCACGGTAAGGTGGCAGCCCAGGGAGGGGTAAATATAAGATAAATCATAATTTTGTACATGAATAAGACGCACCGGCTTAACAGCCGCAGGTATCCAGTGTACAATTAACGGAAGTGCCCAGCTCTATCTGTGCTGTACTTGTTGTAGTACTAAAATCAGCCACGCGTGCACAAAGTATGGCTTGTTTTTAACATACATGAAGCTGGAATGGTGATCCTAAGTATACTTGAAGCTTCAGTATTTAACTCATGGTAACAACCATTATACCTTAAAAATGAACAAAATACCAGTAAATATCTACCGGTAAGCATAATCACTGGACATAAAAGTGTCAAACACCTACGTAACTGAAATTATTAAAAAATTATATACCGGGAAATATTACCCAGAAGTCTTAACGAGGTCATGTGACTGGAAGTGAAATACCATAATACAGATAAAAGGTGGTAAATATTCATTAAATCACTGGTAGTACCACTGATTTTTATTGTTAAACAGTATTGATATCAGCTGCTGTTTTTAAATCTACCTTTACTTTCTAAATTATCTTATCTTAAATAAATATGACGGGATTTCTCTTCAGCGCTAATGAGCAGGGGAGGGAGTTGCTGACACAAAGTCGTCCTCGCCCAGATGGAAAGTCCTTAAGTTTCATAAATCTCAGACACCACGATGGCCCACCATTAAAATCTTCAATCTTGTTTTCGCTTTCAGTCAGATCTGCACGGTGGAATACCTCGGCCGTCTGCTCTCTGTGTTCACCCAGTCTTCCAGAATGGGTTCAAGTTTGGCCATCTGACTTTTTTTTCTCTGAAAGTTTTTTTTTTTTTTTTTTTTGTTTGTTTGTTTGTTCGAGGCCTCAAGGTTGACACCTGTGCAGTAACTGATCTGAAGAATCTGAAGAATTTAGTGCCTTTTTTTAAACCTTTGCTTACTGTAAACAGGAAGCCTCATTACTACACGTGTATCTTGGAGGATGGGTCAATGACAGCATCTCATTGGTCATTAAGGTTACACTTCTGGTCACATGATGACAGAGTAGGTGAAGTTATGGTAGTGAATTTTGAAACCATGTCCTAGAATCGTAGCACATCTGCGGGCATTCTGCCTGTGTTGCAAACACCTGTCCCAGTGAAGGGTGGGGTGCTGGGAGCCACGAGCGCCCAGCTTTCTCAAAGGTAAATCATAGACAGTGACAGGAAGTCTTTCAAAGTAAAATAAAAAAATATAAATTTTGGAAAGTATGAAAAAAATACATAAATAAGACACTTCTACATATAAACCGCGGAGTATAAAGTGTGAGACAATAGTAGCGGATTATACACCGACAGTTACGGTATTTTATCAGACAAAGGCAAGGTCAGACAACTCCTGCAGCACTCTGATCCAGACAAATCAACTCTTGAACACACACACGGTAATACACGGTAATACACGGTAATACACGGTAATACATGGTAATACGTGGTAATATGTGGTAATACACGGTAATACACGGTAATACACGGTAATACACGGTAATACATGGTAATACACGGTAATACATGGTAATACATGGTAATACACGGTAATACACGGTAATACACGGTAATACACGGTAATACATGGTAATACATGGTAATACACGGTAATACATGGTAATACGCGGTAATACGCGGTAATACGCGGTAATACGCGGTAATACG